AGCGCGGAAGTGGTGGAGGTGCGGGTGTGAGCTCCAAAGCTAAATATCGATGCAACAGACTGTGGAATGGAAAAGCTCCACCTCTATGTCACAGGGTCCCTGGCTCACACAGAGATCATGATGAGTTGCCGTAGTTGGGACATTACTCAGGACAGATTCATGCCCTGCAGGGCAGGAAACAGCAAACAGCTTACCCACCAACTGTGCTTTTGACTACCTTGAAATGGTATTTGTTTCTCTAATAGGGGCACACAGCCTCTCTTGCGAAAGCTAACCTTCTTGGAAATGACCCCCAAGTCTCCAGACTGTAAGAGGCATGGTGGAGGCCAAGGCCAGAGTTGCCCAGAGGCCAGTCTGGATTTAAGACCACATTAAGTCGAAGTGAAACCTCGTGCATTATGGTGGGGGAGCCACATGGATTTCCGCAGCACATGGGGCCCTGGGGAGGAGAGCAGGTTGAAGCCTGGGACTGAGCAGGTGGAAGCCAGGGTAATATCAGGGTTTAGGTGCTGTTTGTGCTACAACATGGTCCAGTGGGGCTGGGCGTGGGGAGGGGGCAGCAGCCGGTGGTAGGAGGCCTGACTTGGCCCCGTGAAACTCTGGCCTTCCTCTTACCCACGAGAGCAAGCCCTGCTGACAGGCTGGGGCTAAAGCTGAGTAGGATAACACTGGGTGTGACTAACAAGAGTGACCCCTTAGGCCCAAGGGCATCCTTGGCTCCTGCCAGCACCATCGCTGCGCGTTGGGCTTTGGTTAAGAGAGAGTCTCAGAGGCTCTGCTCAGCTGATACTCAAGAGATACAAGGCTCAGCAGCAAACATCCTTCTGGCAGCTTGGTCCCCCGGGCCATGGGTCTTCACTTTCCCCACTTTTATGAATGCAACTCTGGGCATTCTAGAGACTCAGGTTGCCTAGGTAATATCTGCCTCCTTCCTTTTCTCCACCTTGGTGTGTTCTCATCAGATATTTTGATGCAACCATGTAGAGAGAAGAAGGTTCTGGTGTGAGAGGGCCCTGAGAAGCAGCAATAGTAAAGCAGACATAACCTGTCTATATTTTTGCAGAAAAGCACACCCACGTGTGGGCGATTCAGGAGAACCCACAAAACCCACGTCACGGCAAGACCTTGAGCAAATCAGAGGATGCAAGTGTGCGGATGAGACTCCCTTCCCAACCCAAGCAGGACACTTTCAGTTTTCCAAGTTAACAGACCCGTGTAAACCGTTACCTTCCTCTACAAGGGAAGTAGAAGCAATAGAAGCTGTTGGTGAAGCAAAAATGGTTTGCTCGGCAGGAGACCAGAGGATTTGGAAAATGTCAAAAACATGGAGCATCCGCAATGGGGAGAACAGTGAGGACCATGTCAAGAGAGGAAATTGAAAAATGTCTGGGCTGTTTTGGGCCTTGATTTACCTGTTGAAAAAGAAAAGGTATTTCACATTCTGAACAATGTGCCAGCAATGACAAGTTCACTGTCTAGAAAAATCCAGGAAATTAATAGGTAATTCTGATGGAATAACGAAGCCTCTCTCGGGTGAAACATTAATTATCACCCTGCTGTAGGGAAAGGTGACAATGTGGATTTGTCCAGGAAGAAGGAGTGAGAGTGCTCTTTTCAGGGTCAGTGAATTTCTCTTCTCTTTTCTTTCTTCCTTTTTTTTTTTTTTTTCCAGAAATGAGCAACATACGAGAGAATGGTTCTTTTCCCTGTGAACAGTGGGCTGATATGTTCTGTGAGGTGGAGATTCTACCCCTTACAGGAAAGGATTGACATACGACCAGCTCTTCTGTTGGCAAAGGGAGGGTGCCCTCTGCTATTGCTGAGCAGGGATGATTAGGGTCCATATTATTTGTGAAAGTCTTTAATGCTCCCTCCAGAGCCATCTTCTCTGTTCTACTTTGTCCTTAGCTAATTCCTGGGGACGGCATCTGGAGCTATTTCATTTTTAAGTGTACCTGCCACACACACAACGAGGGAATGTGTCAGTCCCCATTCCATGTCCTCTGGAATGACAGCTGAAGGTCCATGAGACCCAGATCCCTGGGCTGTACCCTGTCTTGCTGGGCAGACTCCTGGCCTCCATATTACAATTCTGAGCTCCTCTGTGTTCTCTATATATGTTCTCATGGCTTGGAATATCTTCCTCCTCTCTTTGCTGATTCCTACTTACGCTTCAGGCCCTCACTCGAGGGCACCTTCTTCAGGAAGCCTCCTCTGAATCTTCCAATCACAGGTGAACTGTAAAGTGCTCCCAGAGTGTCTCATGCTTTTCTCTGTCCCAGCCCTGACCGTTCTGGATGATACCTCTCCACTTACTTGTTTCCTACACAGGACTGGAGCACGGCAGAGACTTGGGTGTTTTACCTTGTGACCCAAGATCACGCAGGGCCACAAACTGATAGGAACTTGCTGGAGATGGGAGGAGATGGCTTGCCCTGGATGGCAGATGGGGGAGGGGGTCCCTCAGGACGAAATTTCCATGAGTAGTGTCGGTTTAAGGAATGTTCTTCCAGGTGGTGGAAAATGGGCCCTCCAGGGGGATCTTGAAAGTCAATGGACAGCAAAAGATGGGAATAAGAACATTCCAGGGAAACACCCCACCTCCTGCTTCCTGAAGAAATGCAGGGATGGTGCCACTGATGAGATCTTACTTTCATTCACCCTATCATGGGGGACCATTCACTTGACCGAAGAATGGGGAAGAGACAAAGGCCGTGTTGCGTGTTCTAAGATTCCCACAGAGCATCTCCTGAGACTGGTTTTGAGAAGCACACTGTGAGACATTAATATTTTTCTTTCTCTTGAAACTCTCCAAATGATACACTGGGTCATAAAACCGAGGCGCCTGTGTTCTCAGCGGCCCTCCTTCCCTCCCTCGTTCCCTCTCTTATCTTTCCTTCCCTTGCTTTATTCCCCTCCTGCTAGGGGTTTTCTCGGGGTGACACATGAATCGTTGTAATAGAACGGGCCACAAATGTGTTTGCATGTGACTGATGGGTGGCTTGCGACAGCCACAGTCCCCACATGCTGAGAGGGCCAGTCGCGGGCTGGTAGGGATGCCGTGTCCCTGACACACTGGTGTTCCACCATCTGTGAGCGATAAATCAGTCTCCCCCTTCCATGGACATCCAAAGGAGAAGGTTTCTCACTCGATCTGAGAATTGTGAACAGGACTTGGGACGTGCTTGCCTTAGTCCCCCCATACGTGTCGCTCACGGTAGGTACTTGACAGTGCTTGTTGAATAAATGGACACGGCTCGGTATCAGTCTACGACAGGGTTTAAAATCGCAGCTAATTACAGATGGCGAGAGGACTCTGGGAGGTCTTCTACCTCAGAGGCCAGGAGCAAAGCCAAGAGTGTGCCGCAGGGTGTGTGCACCAGCAAACAGGCAGATGGTAAACATACATCTTCAAGTGAGAAAATCCAAGTTGCCATAAACACAAGGTCTCACTGCATGTGGGTGTGTCTGTCTGTGTCGTGTGGACTCTGGACCAGGGGTCCCGGAATAAATGGCAAACCTTCCAGCCTTAGAGATATTCTCTCACCTTTAAAGTCTTCTGATCGGTGGTAAAAATCAAAACGGACAACAGAGACTCCCGTTTCTTTCCTAAGCCCAAACCAAGTGCCTTCCGTGTCGCTGGCACTTACTCAAGAAACATTTGAATGAATGATTTGGATGTGCAGGCAAGCTGGCAGGGACATCTGTCAGTGCTGATGGCCAGCGTGCATTTGGCTGGTCCAGCTGGCTGGGCGGGGTTCCTGGTCTTCCCCCAGAACTCCTTTCTAAGATACAGCAAAGCCTTTCTTCTGTTGAAGGAGGTGTTACCAGAACTGTCCCAGGATGTCCCAGGATGCTTCTTTCCCTGTTTCTTCTTACCCATTTACCTCCATTGGCGTTACTTCCTTATCTGTACAGAACCTCTGCCTTCCCAGCCACCAAACCTTCCAGAGTCAGGGGAGGCCTTTCTTTCCCAATTTCCTCCTCTGTCAGTTTTACCATCTTCAATGCCGGAGTGGCTGGTGTTTGCGGTTTCTGCATCAGGGCCCATTTTTCTGATAGCAGGGTTTTGTTTTGTTTTTGTTTTGTTTTTGTGGGGCATCCAGCCTCATAAAACAAGGTAATGGTCCTTAGGAAGCAATCACTTTTGCTGTTGTTCTACAGCAGTTGCCCAAAAGCCCAGAAAGGACCCAGTGATTTCACTGCAGAGGAGCAAATGGGAAAAATAGTAGCCACCTTAGCAGCCCATAGGCGGCAGGGAAGGTGGCTGCTAATTTTAAAAGTGCTGGGAGATGTCTCCGGTGCCTTCACAGGACAGCAGGGAACCTGCAGGCACTTTTGCTGGCCGACTTCTCCATCTCCTAGCATTGAAAACCTAACATGGGAAAGAACTTTATTCCATTGCACAGTTTTGCAATTTTCTCTAAGGTCAATATTGCACATGGAATGCCTAATGGGAAATTGCTATAAAAATGGCAGCTAATTACAGGTTAGCGGATAAAACAACACTCTTCTCTGGAGAGCTTGTGCACATAGGTTGAAGGATAAAATCGGGCTGAATGGTATTTGATTTCTTTGTGTTTACCCAAGTCACTGGCCCAGGCAGGAAGGTAATATATGAAAAGGGACATTTTTGAAATAGTTGTTTTTGAATTATGCCCATGAAATACACACTCTGCTGTGGGGGACATGTGGGAAAGCTACACTCTGACCGCATGACTAATTTTTAAAGCCTTGCATAGAGAGAATTCCCCCCAAGAACACAGCTGGGTTATTCCTTCGTGGACTGAATGTGTCAATTATGAATTGAACTAAAATGAAATTTTACTCCATTACGGCAGAGGGAACCGAGGAGTGGACGCTGCAGCTAGGGCGTTACATAGTAGTTCATACACCAAGTACTATTATTTTATTAACTTTAAGAACATGTTTTACATAAAAACAGGCAACATCAAAAAAGCTCAGTTGATAAATAAACATAATATATCACAGATGATTTCATTCCACATTAACCTACATTTATTAGCTTAAACTGAGAGATTAGGGGAAAAATTGGATCTCATTCCAGCTTTAATCATGGATACAAATCGTTGGAAAGTTATTTCATTAAGATTCTGAAAATCAAAGATTAACCTATGCCGTCTGATCCATGCAGCAATTGATAAATTCAGTATTTTCAAAGGAAACATTGAATTTTTTTCTTGCACCAAATTGAAACCTTTCAGAAACTTGTTTAAACACGTCCAGTACCTGGCTCACCTTTTTAGTATGCATGAGCAAAATACTATTTAATTTCACACTCAACTAATCCTTTAATAATTTTCTTTCAGCCAGAATGAAAAAGGCTATTATTAATTTCCTAATAAAATTAAAAAAATAGTTATTGAGGATATGACTCTAACCTTGGACCAGTTTCAATTTCTTTTTATTTTTTTCTGAGCATACATCAAAGATTAATGTCAATGGCAAGTGAGAAATTGTCCCTAGAGAACTATTCAAGGTCTTTTTCTTACCACATTCGATTGGACTGGAATGAATTGACATTATAGCATCTTTATCATCACTTTTAAAATCCTACTTTCTCTTAATACTGACAGTGAAGGCTTTTAGAACTATTATTTACTTTAAATTGATAAAGTATATCACAGACGAAAATATACAATTTTACATTAAAGCAACATTAAGGGTCTCGATTCAGCTGACCAAAAGACAATGTTGAGGAAATTTACAGGTACGGTTTAATTACAGAGCTCGCTCTTCCTTTAGGGAAAAAGGAAACTAGGTTTCTCGCTTGTCTCCGAGGGCGAGATGTTGCAAACCTCATGATCAAAACACCTGCCAGTTAGAAGCTCGATCACTGAAAAATGATCACTGCAGCTCCAGTGCCGAAGCCTATCAGACAACAAAAAACCAAAGGGGAAGAACCCCTCCCCCCCACTCTAACCCAAGGTATTCTAAGCCTCTACACGGAATTTCCTGTTTCCCACCAGTTTACGACCCTTAATGTTACTGGGTGGATGGTTGCATATTTGAGATGATTAAAAAATAAAAGACTGGCTTAAAAGCACCTCCTCCTCAAGTATGTAATTACATACAAATTAAAGATTCCTTCTGACAGTCCTAGGAACCCCATTTGTTACTGTTTTATGTATAAGCACCATTGAGCCAATTTTAAAGCACATTTGCAGTAATCAAATGTTTAGTGTCTTCAAGTTTTGTTGATTTATTTACCTTTAAACAACAACAAAAAAAGTGTAAAGTGTGTTAATTTATGCTCTTACCATATCTGAACTGACAAAATGTTAATTTTGGAAGTGCTTTTAATCACTGTTGTCCCCAACAGACAAGAATGGCTTCATGATGATTAAATAAAGAAACCCATATCTCCAACAGACGCATATATCCGACCCTCTATCACTCCATGCAAAGTAAGGGTCGGTCTGAGAGTATTTTCCCTAAACTCCTAACGGAAATGGCAGACAACACGCAGGAAAGGCTAACCTTTGAACCGACCAGCTTCAAGTTTTTAGAGCTCTTTGGACCAAAATTTTAAAAAAATCATGTAGCAGTTTAAAAAACAACAACAATGATTTACAAATTATAGAAAAGATACGTCATCTACAGTGTATACCAGGTGACTCATTGATTTTTTTTTAACCCACATCCAAATGAATCATTACATTAAAACTACCATCTTGGATCTTGGTGCTTTCATAAATTCTGAACTTACAGTGAGGATGGGGACACAGCCCAATTTTTTTTGTTGTTGTTCTTGCCCTTTTCTAGGGAGAATTAGGCAGAAAAGAGTAGGGAGTGAAACCTTCATTCTTTGGTGCAGGCCCTATAGAGCAGACTTCAGCCTGGGGCCCCTTTTTATGGTCAAATTAAAAACCTTTGAAAACAGAAGTTTATCATGGATATGCTGACAGATCCTTACCCTGAGAAGGGCTAGCAGCAACACAGTAATATTAGGAAAGCTGTCCCTCAAGCACCATAGCACTTCAGCGCGGGGTACAGAGTTGTCTAATGGGCGCCGTTGGTCAGCAAACGACCGTGATTTAATGTGCGTGAGCCTTGGTCACACAGTGGCTCCGTGACCCTCTACGCTAAACCAATTTTTCTTCTCTTTTCTTTTTTTTCCAACTGAAAAATGCCTCAAAGGGTGAGGGATTCCAATTTTAGCCTTCATTCGTGGATATATTGCTTTCTTTCAACAATATCTGACGGGCCTGTTAACCACCACCCATGGGGGTGCTGGGCATTGCGAGAAGGTCTCACTGAATACAAAACACCAAGTGTTTTCAGCAGTTTATTTGTATTTTTTTCTCTGCTTATTTGAATATGCACCACGTGTAAGTTAGATTAGGGCTACGGTAGAAACATTTTCAATGACTGAAATCTTACTTTTCCTGCTAATGATGTGGAGCAAACCACACATTCATTGATTATGACGAAGGAAATGACTTCTGCTACAATGTCGAGAAAAAAATGTGTTCATCAATAGGAACAGTTCTCATCTACAGAGATGATTTACACGATGCAAGTCATGAAGGAGTTCTTCTTTAATTAGTCTACTACCAAACTGAAAAGATGGATCTAAAAATTCCCTTGAAGATACCATTTGGTTGGTCATGTATCAATAAAGGAAAGACAGTCCCCATCAGCAGGCCACCACCATAAGAGCTATATTAAATACTTAGGAAAAAAAATATATGGAAACACTGAGGGAATGATTTAAGTTGATAATTACAGAGATACACTGCCATAATGGTACATATTTATTCTATGATAAAGTAAAATAAAAAATAAGATCAATTTGGTTATAGAAATTCCTTAAAGAACACCACCACTTAATTATTTCAAACTTGAACTATCCCAAGAATGTTGTGAAAAAAATTAGAAAGCACTGGCTAAAAGCAAAGCAGTCTGGATACACCAATGTAATCAGCATGCCTTGTGCTTGTCTGTTAACCCTCTGAGTACATCTCTGACATTCAGAATCTCAATAGCTTAATGCTAAAGATTGCATTCCATCTGATTACTCAATATTTCTACTTGACAGGTCACATTCCACTCTTTATTCAGCCTAAATCACTCAAATTCTACAGCGATGCACTGGGACCCCCATGTTAAATGGGCCCTGCATTCCTCCACGCTGCCCGTCTGCAGCGTGCCAGGAGACACTCCACAGCTTTGCAGAGCCCACAGTCCACCTAGACTTGGATGGAAAAAGGCCTGAGCCTTGCACTGTCGCTCTGTACATAGATGCTGTAGCAATATATGCAACGCCCATGGGAAAAACAGTAATTCTGAGAAAGAAACGAAAGTGACAGTGTATTGCAGGTAGGTCTCTGCCCATAGGATTCTTCATATTCACACATTTAAAGTTGAGGCCAACTTATATAGCTACTCCTTAGTCTCAGAATAGTGCTTTGCTTTATAGGTCTAGAGAGAGCAGCAGTTTCTGACCAGTTCAAGGTATTTTACTAATATGGAGTCTATCTATACACCAACACCCTTCCTGGCATTTGGTCCTCCCCTCCCCCATCCCAAACCCAACTGATTTGTGCTACTCTGTGATATGTACACTATCATTCCAGAACTCTCTAAATGGGGGGTGGGGTGGGGATTCTCAATAAATAATCTACTGTTTACATGTCAGGACAACGCAGACCAAATTGATAAACCAAAATGTGGAAGAGCAAAATATTAGGGACATTCCGTTGCAAAAGCTATGACATGTTGTGATTTTAAAATACATATCAATACAGACCATACTTTATGGGTTGAAGAGTGAAAAGCAGCAATTGAAGACCAATGTGTATTTGAAAATAAGGAACTGACTATACAAATTTCAAGACGTTCAGATACTGAAGTATATTCAAAACAGAGACAATAAGTGCTGTTCAGCCCTCCAGGTGCAAATTTCATGACACTCTCACTGGTTGTCTCCTGGACCACACTGCTGAGCAAACCTTAGCGGGACATTTGAGTTGGACCCCTGCCTCCAAGACACCATGGCTAGCGTCTTCTCTAAGCACTGCAGTGACACACCGGAAGTCACAGTCCCCGTTCCTAAATGGGACACATTCCAGAAGAAACTCACGGGGGAAACAGGGCTGGGTTGTGAGAAAGGTTTGGTAACAGGAGTGAAAACACAGGTCTCAGACAGGACTTGGCTCAAAGGGAGAAAAACAATATGTCTCTCTGGACAGCTAAAGACCGTGGTATTAAAACATCACCTTGGGGAACAGCAGTTTCATTCTTAGGGGTATCTTCTAGGTCTTCTATCCTGTTCTTCCTGGGAGACTGTACATAGGTAACCTAAAGGTGCACATGGAATTCTCTTACCAACGGTTTGTTTTCTTAAAGCCCATTTTTAGAACATTCTGGATTGTGCTTTCCCTTGTGCTTTCTCCCTGGCTACCTTGCAAAGCACTTGCTTCTAGTCCCCTGGGCCCCCGGACTCCTGTGTATGGATTTCATACTCTACATTGATTTCACACTGAAGACTGCAGTGCATGAAAAGCAGGTGAGAAAAAGAACAGGATCTTGTTTCTTCTTTCTGGTTGAAATCCCAGCCCTATAGAGCACCTGGCAATTTATTGCTCTTTCCCACCAGTTGTTTTTATTCCTGTAGATGTCTCGTCCTGAGCAGGCAGACCCTCATTCACCAAGCACAAGACGAGATGTGGTGATCTCCGAGGGTCTGCGCTGGCACTAGCAGCAGCTGATGTGGAAGCAGCATTTCTGGGACATCATCAGCCCATCTTCATATGGAGACAATTTGGGGGAAGGGGGTGCCATCTATTTCCTGGGTCCGGCTGTTTTGCCTCAGACCCAGCTGCCTCCACTTGGGATGCAGGGCTCGCGGGAGCTGACAGTCCTACCTCGAATGAAAAAGTCCCTTTCGTAATGGGATTGTGAAAGAGAGATCTTATGTACTAAGTTATAAGCCTGCTATATTCTAAACCCACAAAAAAATGACAAGCAAGATATCGTTCTAGATGTCCTTCTCGTCTGGACATCTCAGCGTCTAATAACATCCCTTGATCTGCAGCAAAATCAAGAAACGTGTGTACACATCCAGAGGCCTGAAAAATTCCCCGGGGGCTCTCCATAAAATCCTATGCACTCAGAGGGTTAACATATGCTATATTACATACTGCAGATCCTAGTTTGACTGATGAACACATTCATTGCTTCTATGTTTAAAAAAGTTGCAAATTAGCCTTAACCCTTTGAGGACCCTGTTAGCAGCAAGTTGCCATCTTCGCAAACAACATATGGGCATCTCATTCAGCAAAGAGAAATCGCTCCAAAGATACCAGAAAACACACTTTCTGTTCTGCCATTCAAGCATTGAGTGCTAGATAGATCAGATGAAACCATTTTACATAAATTTGGAAAAAAGTCTCAGAGTCTCAAAGGGCTAAGCTAGGACTTCGAGTAAAAGGGTCTTATTAAAAGGGCGAGTTTGGGGAGCGAACAGTCTCAGATGAGCTTGGGGAGTAGTCTTCCGATTCCGAGTTGAGTTCAGGCGGAGCTGGCTGGGCCTTGTACCGGCTCCTCACATCCTGGTTGCGTCTTCGTCGGAAAACCTGCCCCTCCTTATCAAGAGCGGTGGTCTAGCAGGGGCATAAAATGAGAAAGAGGACAATTAGGCTGAAGGAAGTGGTGAAAGAGACACTTTCTGGAACTTTCTGAGGTCAGAATAATATGCTGGCCAACTTAACTGTCCATCGTGGCTCGCTTGGGTTGACAACAGCCACCACAGTAGGGGGAACTCTCTGCTCCCCCCCCCACCCCCCCAATGCAGCTCCTTAGAGCACCTGGTCATGACGGCAGGAGGCACAGGCAGGATGGATGATGTCGTGGGTTCAACCTCGTCCCCAGCCTTCCCCTAGCTCCACATCTACTCCCCTTGGCAGCTCCCAGGCAGGCTAGAGAGCCCCCCGGCCCATGTGTCTGACAAGTGAGGGCACCAGGCGTGCCTCATTCATCAACATTCCGCTCAGGGCGGCTGTATAATAAAGATGAAAGGTGATGAAGTTGTCAGACATGGAAACAGAGCCACGAGCTCATCCTGTTATTTTAGCACCTCCTCATTCTAAATTATCTTATTATCTGTTGATGAGGGAGTGTGGCTGAGTCTCTGGGAAGGACTGGTTTAATTTTAATGAAACCGATGCCTGAAATTGAAAACTGCTTTGAATGCAATTAAACCAAATGGAAACCCTCCCATGGATTTAAACTTTACAAAGTTCATTTTCATCTGTGGGATGTGGTAATTTATGAAACAGAGATTCAATTTTGTAGGTATTCCAACTCTGGGCCTCTATGCCTCATTTTCCCGATGAAACCTCAGATGATCTCCAGGATGTGCTACCCAGCCGCAGCTCTGGAAGTTATCATGACATCAGAGTTGGGAACGGCATGACTTCATTACAGATTTAAAGGGTGTGTGGAGGAGCGGGGTCATTACAGAGAAACCTTACACAGAGAGCAGAAGAGTAGGTACAAAGCCTGAAGAAAAATATAGACGACATATAAAAGTCGAAGGCGTCCTGGTTTGAAAGTCTCTCTTTAAAAGGATGTAGCCTGGAGGTTATTCTGCTTTTAAGAGATTACTTTTCCTCTGTAGGGATATATACCACCATTTTTTCCTCTTGAAAATTTACTGTTAGCTTCTTCAAAGCACACAGATAAATTTATAGCCAGCCTGGTTCTGAGAACAAAGTGAAAACTAAGCCCCTCATACAATTGCAGTACAGCATTAGAGCAATCTTAGATCTAAAATAGGGCAATCAAAGTTCCAAAATGAAGTAATAAAGAGCAAAAGAGTGCTAGTGTGTAGGAACCAGTATAGTAAATGGCTTTGTTAGGCCGAACTGCTCTGCTTTAAAAACTATCCACACACTGGAGAGCAGTGTTACAAACCAATGAGGAAGATAAACCTGAATAATTCACTCCTCATTTCACTAGACTGTTAACACAATGATTCAATAACTGGTTTGTTGAAACGTCTACCTTTGATTCCTCTACTTGTAGAATTTTTAAGGACACGTGGTTCTTGGTCTTCAACCCACTGATTTTATGATAGTTTCAGCATCATAAACTCAAATTCCTAACTTTATTTAAAACATGGTAAAGCTATGACACATGGTATTTTGCTTTCAAAGCAAACTGAAAATGTTCTGTTTGTGTAGAGTTGAATGTTTGTAAAAAAAATAGACTTCTATTTAGTCTGACTTACATAAAAACCATTCTGTAGTTAATCCAAGAGTAATATAAACTCTCCTCTTGCTTATAAAAAATATTTCTATTTCTACCTTCTTGAGAAAGAAAAAGTCATTGGCATCAGACTACATACTGCCTGGTGGACTGAGACTTTCGAGTCTTTGAGTCCTGCTCTATCTATTACTGGCTGTGTGAACTATTTACTCCGTTCCCAGGTAAGTAAGGAACAGTAATAATCCCTCCCTGCTCGCCCAGAACTACTCTAGGTAAGATGTGCAAATGCTTTTTAATTGGCTGAGATGCTCCGGAACGAAGGTGGTTTTTTTCCCCTTTGCAGTTTTAAAGTTAAGTAACTGCAGGTCAGAGGAACACATTCAAAACCAAGCTCCCATCAGAGCTTATCTCAGGGCACTCTCCCTTCTTCTTTTCATTGGCACCTTCTCCATATTTATTCCATCTCCCGATCATCTACTCAATGACTCCAAGTCCCGCTCTCAGCTGCAGTCACTGAAATGGGCCATTTCTCCATAAACCCTGCAAGTCAGTTTATGCAGAGGCTGGTGGCACTCAATGTTGGCCCGTGCTTGGATGAGCCCATTGCCCTTATTTTCACTTGTGTTTCTCCAGGTCCTTATAAGGGCAACCATATTCTCTCTCTTACGCATCCTTCTGCCTGGAGAACCCTTGCCTTGGCCCCTTGAAAACAAGTCAGTTCTTTCCACTCCTGCCACCTTCTTTCGCCCTAGTAGATGAACCCTGGTGCTCAAAAGCTCCCATGCTTTTTAGTTGTGCCACTAACCAGGAGCTTCAGAGAGGTTCTTTCTGGAAATCTATCATATCATGATCCTGTTTCATGGAATAAGGGTGTGATGGTTGCTTCTGTTGGATTCATAGACTCTTAGAATTGAAAGAGAATTTATAAAGCAGTCGTTGTCCAATGTTTTGCCTTTATAAGCAGGGAAACTGAAGCCCAGGCACGTGGAGATGCCTGAATCGCATTGCTAACTAGGAACAGAACTCAGTTCTCCTCCAGCAGAAGGCCAAGAAATCTCTTCCCATTTACTCTGAAGTCTGTTGAAACAGAATAAAATGGAGCTACCACGTGCCAGTAGCTCACTCTTTCTTTGTTTCCCACCAGAATGAGCTAGGGAGGAGGCACTGACCACAAGCAGCATCAAAGGGCTAAAAACCAGGGCTTTCCCACGCTGATTAGCCTGGGAGAAGCCCTCTCTTTCAGGGACAGCAAGCCTGTGTCCGCTGTGTGTACAATCCCATTCTGGGCCTGTAAACCCCTAGAGGCTTGTATCTGATGAGAGAAAGGCAGTGTCCTCCCCACCCATGCCCTTTACACAACGAATGATCGGGGTTCCCAAACAACTTGCTCTCAAAGATGCTCCAGAGGAGGTCACTGTCTGTAGGCCTCTCTTCCCTGGCTTCCTGCTCGCTCTGCTTCCAGCTCCATGACTGTGGTTTATTTTAACATCCTCCTTCTCCGTGTTCCACGAAGCCTGGTATTGCTAGCGCGGTGCACTCTGCCTCATTCACAATTGCCTCTAACTCACTGTCTTCCCTGCCACACTGTAGACTCTTTGGAGGGCAAGATCAAGTCTTGGGCATCCTCTCTGTGTTCTCCACAGTTCACAGCACACAGTGGATACTCTGCAAACATTGCAGCTTTTGAAATATGGGAAAGTGCAACAGAGGTCACATTATTTCCCTCCTAAGCACCCAGCCGCTAGTCCATCCTGCACATAGCTGACAGGTCAATTATCCCCAGGTCCGATTTATTTGTAATTCCTCATAAAGCCCAACTCCTTGTCCTAACATTCACAGTGTGTTTATAGGAAAAACTTCCAGTGTCTCGTTCTTGTAATTACTCAAAATGACCTGCAGACTTACTGTTCTCCATTGGCGGACATTTGATTTTCTTGCACAGCTTCCATTTACTCTATTTACAGATAATCATGCCTCAGTCTCCCGTTTGACATGCCCTGTTCTTATACTGTGTGGTTCCAGTGAAGATGATCATAGTCCCATCTTTGAGAGTAGGGCAAGGATGGGCTTGTGACTCAGGAGCAAGCATGAGCTTCCCACATTGCCCAATATCCACAATTCATTCAGCATGGGTACCCAATCCAGTTAACGGGACACAAGGAGATTTTCACTGGAAATTCACATTTATAATGAATCCCAATTGTGGAATGAGGGTGGGCTTCCTAGTACCATGTGAAGGTCCAGTCTAAAGGCAACACAGGGAGGCATGATGGAGGGATGCAAAGACACTAAGCCATGACTGAGTGCTGAATCCATCCATCACTGAAGCCAGACCCAACCTTGGAACCTTTCAGATTAGATGAAATAATAAATTTCCTTTTTGCTTAAGCCAGTTTGGTTTGGGTGTTAGTCACCTGCAGTCAAAGAAGTCCTAAGTGACGTGTCTCTGAGTATGCTTCAATCATTCTTGCCCTATAGCTTGTCTCAAGGTGCTCCCCTATCTGAAAGTACTTCTCCTCCTTCCTGTCCACTCAAATTTATCTGTGTTCTGAGATTTCCTCAAACTCAAATCTCGATGGTAGAATCTGAAACTTCCTTGCATTTTCCAGAATGCCTGGCAGACGTATTAGAGACATATTAAATATTTCTCAATTAATATGGGATTAAACTATTTTAGATGATTATGTACTTTCTGAATAACAAAAGATGGAACCCAAAGCAACTCTATAATACAAACAAGTAAGAACTTAAAAGTATCACAAGTTAATATTTAAGGATATGACATATGTGATCAAATGGTTAAGTCACATAAAGTTAATATTCTCTTATACTCTTATAATCATCTACTCAACAAGCACTGTCCTCTATCATAGCCTTAGAATTTTAATTGTGGCTATAAAATGAACTTGCCTCTAAAGTATATATAGTCTGGGGTGCCTGGGTGGCACAATCAGTTAAGTGTTTGACTTTTGAATTCAGCCCAGGTCATGATCTCATGGTTCGTGAGATGGGTTCATGAGATTGAGTCCAGTATCAGGCTCAGCGAAGAGCTTGCTTGGGGAACTCCCTCTCTCCCTCTCTCTGTCCCTCCTCTACTCACTCTCTCTCACTCAAAATAAATAAACAAACTTAATGTACAGCTCAAATTTTACACTGTACATATTTGAATTCTGTAGCCTCCATTTGTAGTTCAAAACAAATGAAATCAGCAAGATAACAGAACAATGTGCTATTCCATAATTTTAAAAAGGTATTGCTACAAAATATATTTACAATCCAACTGATAGTTTCTCTCTCCCCCAAAAGCATTCAAAATATCATTTCTTCCTCTGAAGTGCTGCATCACAAATTTAAATTCTGGGCCCGTTTAACCATTGCTGAAAGGCTGCTTTCC